GGGGAGGGGTGACGATGCGCGGAGGAGGGTGGAGGGAAGAGTGGGTAAATTTGGGGCGGAGGGTGGAGGGAGGGGTGAGGATGGGTGGAGGAGGGTGGAGGGCAAGTAGAGGATGGGTGGAGGAGGGCGGAGGAAGGTGGAGGAGGAGGATGGGCGGATACAGGTGGAGGAGTGTTGGGTTGGGATGGGTGGAGGAGGGTTGGGTTGAGGGGACGTACCGTCGTTCCGAAGAGAAGCATGAACGACGCGAGCGCGAGCGCGAGTGCCGTGGTCGTAGTCCGACGCAGGAACTGTGCAAGCGAAACGGCCAATTCTACAACCCGGTTTACATGCACCTAAACTTAGCAGTGCCGCCCCTTGTAAGGAAACAGTTCCGGCACCATCACGATACAATGCAATCCTATCGGACAATGGTGAGAGACGCCAAGGCACTCCGTGCGGTGTACGATACCCGGGGCGTGTTTGCAGTGGTTGGAACCAAAGTGGTTGGTTTTCTGTTGTACCAACTTCAGATCAAGGATTCAACTCCTGATGCACAACTACTCTATCTGCTTATAGACCGTTGTCACCGTCGACATAAACACGGGTGTAATATGTTGACATGCATCATCAACCGTCATATGACAACATTCGAAGATGGAGTCGCAAGAGACCTACAAGAAATCGAATCTGCCGAACAAACTGCAATCGAAGACAAAAACGAAGAACTGCTTTTTCACTTTGCAACCAAGAAAGAGAACGAAGCAACAACGGGTGCGAGCTGGTCGCTTGGATTTCCTGTAGCATTCAGCGTAACGAATCGTTTGAAGAGAACCTTGCATTTTATACCAAGAGTGGGTTCACAGACAAGGCAAACGTGCCCGGTTGGGAAATCGTACAACAGAACGATCCCGTAAATTTCAAATCGGTTATTTATGCCGGGTTGCGGAAGTATGCAGCTCAAACGCGGCTGCGGCTCAAAATGAGCTTCGGGTGACATAGGGTTCTTGGGACCCCGTTGCGTAACAGCCCCTGTTGCTACGCAGACCCCGTTGCTACGCAGACCCCGTTGCTACGCAGACCCCGTTGCTACGCAGACCCCGTTGCTACGCAGACCCCGTTGCTACGCAACGGGTTCCGGGTTCCGGGTTCCGGGTCCCGGGTTTCAGTTTCCGGGTTCCGGTTTCGGGTTTCGGTTTCCGGGTTCTGGGTTCGCGGCCTCAACGACGCCACGCTCTGTCATTTTAGCAGCCGTCGTCTCCTTCTCCATTCGAATTGTTATTCTGGGCAGCGGGTGATGTGGGTGAGCGTGACACGGCGATGCGATGGTCCTTGTTTGAGAATTGTATGTTAAAACTCACACCCGGTTCCACCACACAAGAAGTGCCATGCTCTTATCTCGTATATCTCTGTATCTATCCCTATCTATCGCCCCCTCCACGCACACACCCCAGATTGCATACAGCGTAGGACGTGGCCGTCCTGGTGGTGGTAGTTTTCCCGACACGCGTCGCGTCGAACACCCCTTCCCTGGTTAATGGGTGGATTGTGGGTTATGGTCAAAGATTTCTAGTTTAGAACCCAATGACACGAGTTTAGAACCCCAACGCTTAGAGTTTGAACCCAGGGCTGGTGTCTAGCTCTAAAATTCGAGGGTTTTGGTTCCGGATTTTCTACGCCTCATACACGATGGGAGGGGGTTGTACCGGCTACCCGAAGCGAAGCGCTCACATGTCCAGAACCATACGGACAACCCCGGCGTCCAACCCACGGACCCGCGATTCCACCCCCAGCCGCTCCTGGTGCCCCATCGCAAACGCTTCACACCGGACGACGCGGAGCGCCTCGCGGCGAGCTGGCTCCGCGAGGAAGGTCGCGTTGAACCGTGATTCCCTAGCGTTTGCGACGGGGGACGTCACGGTCTGCTCCATCCGCTTCGCCGATTTAGCGACGAGTGACAGCAGCGGGTCGCCGTAAGGCTCTTCGAATTCAGCCCCGTTGTCGAGAAGCATCCGTACCATTGTCTCCCGTCGCGTGTAGTACGCCTGGTGGAGTGCAGTCGCGTTGTACCCGGGCCAGCCTGGCCCAGCCTCGAGTCTCGCGTCGATCGGCGCGCCGTGCTCGAGCAGGAACGTTGCCATCTCTGTGTTCAGATGGACCGCGGCGAGGTGCAGCGGGGTATGCCCAGAGGAGCCGACCGCAGCAAAATCCGCCCCGTGCTTGCGCAGCACAACCGCGAGGTCCATGTTCTGCGTCATCGCCGCGTAGTGAAGCGCTGTCCGTCCGTACGAGTCTCGCGCGTCCACGAACGCGCCGTGGGTCAGCAGCAGATCCACTGCGTCGGTGTGGCTGCCCACTGCCGCCCAGAGCATCGGGGTTCCTTTCAAGAACTTGTTGTAGGGAGACCTTATCCGAGGAAGCGCCCATGTAGGGCACCCGTCCAGTTCGAGCCCTTTCGGGTCGTACCAGTCACACCTCGTGTCTAAGGTCACGCCTGTGGCGATCGCGGTTGCGAGGTCTGCCATGTGGCCGCGGATCGCCGCAGAGGAGAGCAATTTCTCGCGTCTCTGGTCAACCCCTCTGGTCTCCATCGCGTCGTAGGCAGTTGCGCCGCCCTTGCGCAATTTGCGCGACCCTTGCGCGGCCTCGCGTAGCCTTGCGCAGCTTTGCGAGACCCTTTGCGCGCCCTTGTGCAATTTGCGCAACTTTGCACAGACCCTTTGCGCAGACTTTGCACCTGTTTACACCGTCTGTGTGCTACACGGATTTATACCCGATTCCGAGAACTGTCTTTCTAATATGGTCATTGTTCTATTTTTAGATTCCTGTTTACATCACTTCAAATTATGTGTAGTAAATTGGGTCGTTAAATGTCCGTTCAAAAAGTAAAAAAAAATAACCGACGGATAAGGCATTTTACAGACTGTTTGGGACATACGAAATCCGTCATCGGTTTCAGATTTGGGAATTTGGGGTGTCATTTGGGCACTTTTGGGATCGCTTTTGGCGACTTTTTGTACTAACTTTCTGAAGTTGATCAAATCGCCGTAGGGCTGATAACCCCGACATGTAATCCAAAACCCGATTTTCACAGAAATCCCCCGAGGTCGAAAAATTTCCAGATTTGACACGAGAACTTCTGGGCCCAGAAGTTCTCG